ATGTCAATTGTTTTTTATATTTTTTATATATACATTTAAAGAATACATAAAAATGTAAAGTGACATCATATAGTTTTCTCATGTTTTTTTATACAGTATTTTTTTATACAGACATAGTATTCTAATTTTATTTTTGTTTTCAAGTGTTCTTATTTTGATGTCCTAAGTAACTAAATCCTTTTTTTTTTGTTTAAGCTTTATTAAGTTGCTTAGCTTCGTTTAATCAACACTAATAGCTTTCAACAAACCCATTTTATATTCTTACAATCAATGATGTCTTGCTTCTTTGAATTTAAGAAACTTCAGATTTGGTCTATATCACCGGAAGGTGGAGATTCATTGGAAAGTTCGCTTAGATTGCACTACTTCAAGCTCGAGTCCAAAACAAGTAAACAAAAAGGAACATGAATAATGGCTTTTATTTTACAAAATCAAAATGTATTTTATGAAGTATAAATAAATAAACGAAACATAAGAGAAAAATATAAATTTTCTATTACTTATTGTACAAGACAGGTAAGTGGAAAGGAAAGAAAAGTAGATATGGAGAGCACTTGGAGAAAAAAAATCTGATGTGATCTAGCTTTAGTCACTCACTACTCAACCAGCTTTTTCAAGTTGATGTTCGTTAGAGACACATTAAATGAATTCATGGATTGGATGGTGTGATACATTACATTAAATTCTTGGAGTAAGTGGATTCTCAAACAATATTAGGCCGAAGACTCCTGGAATGTAACACCCCAATCCTGATATGCGACTCCTCCCTCTCCCCGGGCCCATGATCCACTGAGTGTGTCACTTCATCAGCTTAAATAGCCCCTATAACATTTTATTCCTCACAAAGAGAACCTCCCGCAAGTTGAACCCGTGACCTCATGGACAAATAATCACTATTACCATGAGTAGCTATCATTAAGCTATCATGGTTTAATGGTAGCGACTCATTGGAACAGTGATTATTTGTCCCTGAGGTCATGGATTCAAGTTGCGGGAGGCTCCCCTTTGTGGGAAATAAAATACTGCAAGGGTATTTAAGTTGGTGAAGTGACACGCGATCTTACATTAAAGACATCCAAACATATATACCTTGATCCAGTTTATGTGCGTCCCTGTCACTTACCTAACGGATTTATTAATATGTAGCTTGACTTTATATACGTAATAATAATAACATGCTTGACAACGAATTCAACTGAAGGGTAAGGTAATGGCATTGTATTGTGTACATCATTATATATTATACTAACAACATTCAACTATATAGCCTATAGATAAATGTGATACATGTTAAATCACAAGGTTGCATTTTTGGTCTCTCAAACTTAAATTCAAATATATCTTGATATCTGAGAAAGAAATGAGACATAGAATGGAAAGGCTTGTCATTCTTCCATTCTCTGCTGGTTGTATCTCTGACGCCACCGTTGCCGTAGGTGTTCCACAGCCAAGAAGATCAAGATCATCAAACTCCAACACACCAGCTCCTGAAACCAGTCTCTTTCACTCTCTCAATTTAATATTCTTTTTAATTTCTTATATTGCATTTATTTAAATTAGGGATGAGATCCACTTGATTCGAGAGGAAGTTTTTTAAACTTACCCCATATTTTATTCATCAATTCTAGAGAAACCGAATGATTTAAATTAGTAAGTAGATCTAAATCATTATATCCTAAAATTGATAGCTACTACGTGGAGTAAGTTTAAAAACCAAATTAATTCTCTTTAACAATGTTATATTTTTAATAAATCTTTAATAAGCACTTAAAGTTGATATAAATTACGTGCATAAGACATTAACTAACCTGATTGATTTAAGCGAATGGATCTACCTACTCTAAGAGTAATTGGGAAAAACTTACTCCATATCATAATCATACATTCTTGAAAAATCCAATTGTTTAAATCGGTGAGTACATCTAAATCATTGAATTTTTCAAGAATTAATGACTAAAATATGGAGTAGATGGATCCCTTCCCTTGCTTTAATATTTTTCTAGTAGGAATATTTATGCGCAACATAAAAATTTATACACAATCATTATATCATTTATCATTTGTTTATATTATTTTTTTTTAGAGTCAATCATAATTAAACATGAATGATGAATGATGCAATAATAATATATAAAACTCATACAGTGGATACATTTTTTTTTTTTGACAGATAAGAGTTAAAGGAATATTCCTAGCTGATGATCATTTTGTCATTTAGATTGCTTCATTTCCATGATCCTGTGTTATTAACTATATATCTGTTAATTTTAGAAGGATCTGAAGACCCTGAGAATTTAGAGAGTTTATATGGTGAAAGCATGAAGAACTTGTTAAGGTTCCTTGACGTTGTTCCAAAGCCTAACATATCCAATGGCTTCAATAGGATATTCAAGGGTTTTAAGAACTTCTCTCGATTGTTTGGTGAGTAGCAACTAGCAACCTTAATTGGTTAATAATTAATCCATTCAAGGCCTTAAGTTGTGTATCATATCACCTGAAGAAGCTATAATATTGTGGTTTTATAACCACAACCTTATTATAACCCAACAATAATCACAACTAGTTTCTGTCCCATAATTTTCATGTCTCAATTTCTCTAACCAATTAAACTTCATAAAATAATATTAAAATATTAATATTTGATTTTGTTACTTTTCTTATTAGTTGAATAAAACTTTCTAATTGACTTTGTACACAATGTGGGACATGAATACAGACATGCCCATCTGTTGTGAATCACCGTGTAACCAAAGAGTTTGGCTCCTCTCCATTACAGGAGAAGGCAGTGCATGCTTAAGATTTTGACACTTGGCAAAATCAAAACTTCAATGGTTTAGATTATTTACATTTTTTAAATTAAATTTTTTTAAAAAAATTTCTCCCTCACAAGCCCAGTACTGGAGAGTCCAGTACTGAAGAAGAATCCTATTCGTAACCAAATGGTGGTGCAGATTTTTGTTCATTTATAAAAAATATAGCGGTTTAATAATTAATACATCCACAAATTAAAATCATAACCCATTTCTAATGGGTACACGTTTGTGGTGTCAATTTATAATGAATAGGACCTCTCTACAGTATAGTAAAAACAAAGGTTCAAAATTTATTTTATTTTTAATGACAAAAATGTTATTTTATTATACTTAAAATTCATCCATACTCGTTTCTGGTTCTAGTATTTTTAAAATGATGAAATAATTTTATGGTAAATTAATTAACCTATGGATTACTTGTATATACGTTTGTAGTGGAAAAAGAAGAGGACTCAGAAGAACTTGGGATGGAAATAGGGTGTCCAACAGATGTACAGCATGTGACACACATTGGGTGGGATGGTATTGCAACAACAACTTCTGTTCATGATCAAATGAAGGGTTGGGATAATCTCATACCTCCTCACCTTCTCTTTTACAACGCTTCCAATTTGGACTTAAAACATGAAACACTGTCTCCCTTAAAGCCTTCTTGTCCTTAATTTAATTTTTATATTGTATTTGATGTTAGAAAGAATGAAAGAAGATTTGATTGTTGGGGATAAATATATAAATATATATTATGGTTGGTTGTTGATGTTGTATAGCGTAGATGATTTGCACAAACTATGTATTATTTTTGTGATGCAATTTATTTTCTATTTTCAAATTGGTCATCTAACTCATTTATTTCATTTTGGTAATATTAATTGGTTTTTCCTCCTAACTTTCTCAATTCGGATCCTAAATTTACAATTTCTATTTAGATTTAGAATGTAAAGATGTGATGAAATTCATTAGGTGTCAACATGAGAGACTAATATGATACATTACTTGAAGAAACAAATTTATATTTGGATATAATCATGAGAACGAATCTTCTCCATTGAAGTGATGTATAAAACAATGCAAAATGGAAAATGAAAACAAGTGTAAAAACTATTTGAGTTATATACATTACTCATGTATTAATGGAGAGAATCCCAATCATATAATGACATTTTTATATAAGTGTAAAAACTGACCAATATGATACACTTGTAATGACATTTTATCCTTAAAACAAGTGTAAAAATATTAATTTTCTCTCCATTAATGGAGAAGATTCCAATCATATAAGGCACACTTGCATTCATGTAACATTAAAAGATAGTGAGAGCCGAGGAAAGGGAGAATTTAACATCAAAACTGATTGAGTCATATAATTTAGAATATGTTCTACGTTAATGCACTTCAGTCTGCTTGCCTGACCTTAGGGTGATGACACTCACATTCCTTGGGTTAAGCACAATTTGAGAAGGTAACTTGTCAGAATTATGTGTTTGTAATGTGTTTAGTGAAATAGTCATCTGTCACATTTGTGTAGTGAGATTATGAATGGAAGACTCTTGCATTTGAATGGAAGCTCTATTTTATTGCCGAAACTAAATATTATGCATTGTCATCTGCCTCCTAAATTTTCCCATTGAGTGTTCAGTTTGTTACCTCTGTTATTGGATTTGTGGGGGCATATATGTTGGTCTATTCTGCCAGCAGTGCTCCGAAATGGTGTATGAGGATGATTTCTCCAACCACAGTTGTATGTGCTTGATGATGATGTAGCATAATGTTGTTGTTGTAGATGTTTGCAGTATAAGCATCGGGATGATCACCAGTTCTTGGCTCAAAGAGAGAAGGGCACACATCACTATAATGATCATCTGAGATGCAAATTCCACATACTCTTGCAAGTGAAGATTTTTGCTGATTCATGGCTAACTGAGTGATCAAGGTGGTGAGAGAATCCATTTTGCTCTCAAGCTTGTCTTGTCGTGCTGAATTTGTCCCAACATCATCGACACTTCTAATAACTATGACATCACCACTCCTTGCATTGAATTGTTGAGAGTTGGAAGTCATCTTCTCAATAAAACTTTTGGCATCAAAAGGATCATGTCTCCAAGTGCACCACCACTAGCAGCATCAATGATGCTCCTATCCATGTTGTTTATATCCTCATAAAAATACTAAAGGAGAAGTTGCTCAGATATCTAATGGTGAGGGCAATTTGTGCACAATATCTTAAATCTCTCCCAATACTCATACAATCTCTCACCATGTTGCTACCTAATTCTAGAGATGTCCTTTATGATTACAGTGGTCCTGAAGGCGAGGAGGAATTTACCAAGGAATGCCCTCTTCAGGTTCCCCAACTTGTAATGGATCCAGGAGCCAAGTAATACAACCAATATTTTGTAGGGCCTTCGATAGAATGAGGAAGGCCTTCAAAAAAATATGATCCTCTAGAACATCATGTTGTTTCATGGTTGAACAGACAATGTGGAATTCCTTAAGATACTTATGAGGATTCTCAGTTGCAAGTCCATGAAACTTTGGCAACAAATGGATTAGTCCATTTTTAAGCACATATGGTACATTCTCATATTGGATACACAAACTGTCATAAGTAAAATCAGGTGCAACCAGCTCCCTTAATATCCTCTCTCCGGGACCAGGAAAAGTAGGTGGCTAAGCCATATTTTCTGAATGGACAGAATGCTCAGAATCAAAATATACAAAGAATGCACAAAATCACTATATGCAGCAGAATGCATAAAAAAAATGCTCAGAAACAAAAATAGAATCAGTATCAGCTGCACTATAGAAAGATAAATTCTTATTTTGTCTAACTAACCTGTGATATGCTCTATCAATTTTAGGATTTATTGGATGCAAATGACTTGCATTACTCCTAGTCATGCACTATAGTCAACAGTAGCAACAAAGTAAGGCAATAATTGAAATGTATGTTATAATTGTGTAATAAACCAAGTTTTTGCATAAATAACATCCTAAAATCATATATAACATGTACAAAAAATTCAAAGCCTTACTATTCTGAAAATGCAAAATAGATTCACTATGAACCTTATAAAATAAAAAACAAAATGTAAAAAGGTTTTTTTATTTTTTATTTTGGTGTGGACTTGACAGACATAGTGTGTCACAATAGGTATAATGGAAAATTCTACCCAAAATACATATATTATATGTCCAATTTTGATATATGGATCCAAAGTTAGGCTAAAAATAAAATTTCGCCTATTTACTATTCACTTTCTAGGTGCATCTCACAAACTACAACTTGGAAAGTCATTCTGCTTTTTTTTGGAGATCAATGTGGGATGAAAGAAGCAGAGAAACAAAATTTCATGCAAAAATTTGCTTCACAGCTATATGAACCAACAATACAGAATCATTCAAACATGTGAAATGGCAAAACATTGAAGAGTGAATAGTAAGAGTAACAATAACAACAACAGCTTTTGGAACCAAATCAAAATTTCCACCCTAAATGCACTACAAAAATGAATAACTAAACTATACTAAACGAAACTAAGCTATATTAAACTACTGAGAACCTTTGTACGAACCGATAATCCCCAGCAACAGCGCCAAATTTGATTGAGGTCGTACCCGATGTAAATAATAAAACAATTAAGTATAGTACTAGGAAGTGACTCTTAGGTCGTCTCCCAATGATTATCTTTCACAAAAAGGTTCAAACACCTTACATTCATACACACATGGGGTTTTGGTGGTTTTATGGTATAAATATAAAAATAAAATGGAACAAAAAACAACAATTTGCTAATTAAACAGTAAAGTAGCTAAATCCATTTGGTTTGTTTGTTCAAAACTCAATCCTTGGTTTCAAAATATAAAATCAGATTCTAGGCATTCTTTTGTTGAGAGTCGATTAACTAAGCGGTGATCAACTCACAGTTAAATTTCTAAGTCTCAAACTAAGCGAAATCAACTTAAGCAATAGTTAACAAATTTACAAGAATCAAATGATCAATTTCAGTTTCTAAACAGTGAATTCCAATTATGTTGAGAATTAATTAACCAAGCGATAATCCATTTACAACTCAAATGTCTAAGCTTTAAACTAAGCGAAAATCATTTCACAAGCCTAAATCAAAACCATGGAATTAAGCAAACCAATCTGAAATATGATAAAAGATTCAACCATTAACAAATTGAACTTGCATATAACAATAAATAAGAACTAAAATGCTTTAAGAACTAAACCTCAAGAGTGTATTACATTACCAAAGAAATTTAGGCCAAAGTCTAACCTTTCATGGAGGAAGAAGCAAAACCGAAATGCAAGAAGAAAAAGAGTAGAAAACGAAAACCTAGCTAAGCCCCGAAAAGGGGGAAAACAGATTTGTGACTCTATTCTAATGTAAAAATGTATAATGTATAAGTTCAAGTCCTCAATGTAAACCGAATTCCAACTTTAAAAGTGATTAAAACTGAAATGGGCCCTAAACAATGGGCCCAAAACCCAAAACAAAATTAAAAATCCTAAAACATATACAACATTCACGTTAGCGCACATCCTCCACACATTCAAGAAGTCAAGAATAGAGAATTAACCATGAAGAGTCTGATTCCGACATGGATGATGAAACTATATCCCTTGTCAACGAATTCAGAAAATTCTTAAGAAATAAGTGAGGATTCAGAAAGTTTCACAAAGAATATGCAAAGGACTCAATCAAGAAGAACAAGTATCTCAAAGACAACACAATTTGCCATGAGTGTGGGAAAGTAGGTCACATGAGGTAGACATGTCCTACTTATCTCAAGAGTATTGAGCATAACAATAAGAACGACACTCGAGATATCAAAGCTAAGGAAGCCTATGTCGTTTGGGATGAACCCGAAGAGAACACTACTTCAACAAGCACATCGGAAGATGAAGAATCGAGCAAAACATGCTTAATGGCTCAAAATATGAAATCTTGCCAAGAAAGTGAGCAAGATGAGTCTAGTGAGGTATACTCTTCCAATTCTTGTTCTAATTCCGATAATTCTCCCATATACGATATACTTTATGGTGCGTATGTTGAAATGCATGAAGAACTTGAAAAGTTAGCTAAAAAGTATTTAGATAAGAAAAGATCGATTCTTGAGCATGAAAATAAAATTTGTGAATTGCAATCTTTCATTGATGAGTTGAAACTTGAGAATAAAACCTTGGATATTACATGTGAAAATTTGTACTACTAAATTAAGTGAGACTCCTACATGTGAAAATTGCAAAGTCTTAAATGCTGAAAATTTTGTTTTGAAGAACAAAATTGCGAAGTTCACATATAGCTGTCACAACTTAGACAATCTACTTGTTGCATCTAGAAATATAGGTAACTGATATGGTCTAGGCTACATGCATGCTAGGAAATCGAAGTCAAATATGAATTAGGTAGTTCATGCTAAAACGTCGCATCAAAAATTGCATACTTACTTTTATTGTGGCTTACATGGACATACTTATATTTCTTGTAATGTTAGAATGCATGGTATACCTAGTAGACAATATATGTGGATTCAAAAGGGACAAATTTCCTTGGTTTCTAAAAAGAAGGGACCCAACATAATTTGGGGTACCCAAGACATGCAAGTAAGCTTGTTTTGAAGGTGTGCCTAAGAACATATGAACATTAAATCATACTTGGACAACAAATGTTCTAGGCACATGATAAGTGAGAAGATCAAGCTTCATTGACTTATCACCTAAGTTAATGAAAAAGTCACGCATGGAAAAAAGTACTAAAGTTAAATGCTTAAGGTTAGAAATCCTATGCTTCAAAGGTAATAAGGTATCTTTTCTAACTTTAAGTGTTACATATGTTTAAGTGATATCAAATTTCTAGAAAATATTATAAATTTGAGAGAAGTCAAAGAGAATGCAAGGATAAAACAAAGCAAGCTTGAAGACATCTGCAACTCAACAAACAACAAGGTTGTAAAGACCCAAATTCTACCATTGAAATTTTTTTCCTTATTTTAATTCATTCACACATATATTTTTACTTATGACTTATAATTATAACCCAATGACTTTTCATTAGTTATCCTTTCTATTTCATGATCATTCTAACAAGCAATGTTCATACATACATAAACTATGCAGAAAACATAATTCATATTAATGTCCCCTAATACTTAGGACATACAAATAGTGATGGGTTCCCAAAATCATAATACCCACAGTTACAAGCATCCAAAAATATGATGATCATGATTACAAATATTCAAATCCACATATAATTAGTTATGACACAAAAAGTGTAAATAAAAGAATCCAGATTTAAAAGCTCCCAAAGCTCCAAATCAAGCATCCTTAATTCATCCATTTACCTGCAATGTGATTATCATAAACAAATACATAGAAAACACAAAGGAGTAAGTCATCAATTCATACATAAACATATGATAATCCACATTTAATAAGATTATATAAGTAAATACATTCGTTACATATAAAGTATGTTCATACCATCTGTTTCCATTGATAACTCCAGTATTTCAACTCATCCTCATTAAACATAAACCACTTTACCATTTAATCTACCTTGTAACCGACCCACACGGTCATTCATTCCCATTAACTAACATATATCAACATTCATAAATATCTATAACTAAGCTACATAGGTTGAGTCAAAGTATCGCTACATAAGTTGAGTCAAAGTATCGCTACATAACTAGAGCCAAAGTATCGCTACATAACTTGAGCCAAAGTGTCGCTACATAACTTGAGCCAAAGTGTCGCTACATAACTTGAGCCAAAGTGTCGCTACATAACTTGAGCCAAAGTGTCGCTACATAACTTGAGCCAAAGTGTCGCTACATAACTTGAGCCAAAGTGTCGCTACATAACTTGAGCCAAAGTCTCGCTACATAACTTGAGCCAAAGTGTCGCTACATAAATTGAGCCAAAGTGTCGCTACATAACTTGAGCCAAAGTGTCGCTACATAACTTGAGCCAAAGTGTCGCTACATAACTTGAGCCAAAGTGTCGCTACAGTATCGCTACATAACTTGAGCCAAAGTCTCACTACATAACTTGAGCCAAAGTGTCGCTACATAACTTGAGCCAAAGTGTCGCTACATAACTTGAGCCAAAGTGTCGCTACATAACTTGAGTCAAAGTGTCGCTACATAACTTGAGCTAAAGTGTCACTACATAACTTGAGCCAAAATATCGCTACATAACTTGAGCGAAAGTGTCGCTACATAACTTGAGCCAAAGTGTCGCTACAGTATCGCTACACAACTTGAGCCAAAGTCTCGCTACATAACTTGAGCCAAAGTCTCGCTACATAACTCGAGCCAAAGTGTCGCTACATAACTTGAGCCAAAGTGTCGCTACATAACTTGAGCCAAAGTGTCGCTACATAACTTGAGCCAAAGTGTCGCTACATAACTTGAGTCAAAGTGTCGCTACATAACTTGAGCTAAAGTGTCACTACATAACTTGAGCCAAAATATCGCTACATAACTTGAGCGAAAGTATCGCTACATAACTTGAGACAAAGTATCGCTGTTAAGTGCCATATAACGAGTAAATTGAATATGAATTGAGGCACTTATTTGTAAATTTTGTTGAAAAAATTAAACAAACTTTCATGAATCTAGCATAATCAACTTGGTCTGGAAAACTTACAAAAGTATTGTTATTTGCAGGTTAATGGTGATTGAAAAAGGTGAAAAGTGGAAGAAAGTGAGAATAGTGGCTCAAAAGCACACCTAGTGGCGAATTCTCGCCCAAGCCAAGAATACCTCGCCCAAGCTAGAGTTCTCGTCCAAGCAAGAATCTCTCGCCCAAGCGAGAGACAAGTGACCACAAGCCTCAGCTACTAAAGAATTCTCGCCCAAGCGAGAGACCAAAAGTCTGAAGTTCATTTAGGCGGTTTCCAACAGTTTTGGGGTTACCTCCATTACACTGATTTTTAAGAGCTTTCTAGATAGAGAAGCACGAAGGAGAAAGGAGAGAGTTGTGGGAACGACCCTAGGCCTAGATTCTTGTAGTTTTATGCATTTCATCACTATAATGTGTAGAATGAGCGGCTAATTTCTCAGTGTTGGGATTGAATGTAATCTTCTAAACTCTTGTATTCTTGGATTCAATTTGTTCTATCTTTAGTTATTTGATTTGGAAATCTTAGTCTATGCTTAATGCTTGATTTTATTTAGTTATTAGAATCTCGATATGTTACCCATGTTCAACTGGAAAGTGAAACGTGTGGTTGAATTCGGATAAGTTTTCTTGATGTATTGTTGATCTAGGAATGGACAATGATACATGAATTGTTTATACATCGGATTTAATGCTAGATAATTTGTCAAATTACCAAGGGATTGAAATTTGAGGAATTATCTAAGGATTTTTTAATCAATGAATTGATACAAATGATCCGTGATGTGCATCAAGATCAATAACCTTTTATAGAATTGAATCTAAAGTTTACAGAGAGGAAGAAGATGAAAGTCAATCCCAACCATTTTTATCCGAATTTATCAAACCTTTTTTATAAAATACAAAAATACCAAATGACTTTTTATCAAAACCATTAATTGTAAATATTTACTCAATTTATATCTTTAGATATCAAGATAAGTCTAAATTGCTCCTTGAGGACCATATCCCGGTATTTACCGGTTTTATTACTTGAGCGATACGGTATGTAACACCCCAAATTTTAAGTCATTAAAATTATAGTATCAGTCCTCGGATCCTCGCTTGAGCGAGAAAGGATTACCTGGGAGGGTGAAATCCTGGGCTATACTGGAAGATTCTCGCCTCAGCGAGAGTTGCCTCGCCTGGGCGAGAAATGGCAAACTGGGGCTGTTGACACTGTGAGATTCTCGCCTGAGCGAGAATCCCTCGCTTGAGCGAGAGGAAGCCTGTTGGGACTGTGAGATTCTCGCTTGAGCGAGAATCCCTCGCTTGAGCGAAAGGGTCAAGTCTGAGTTTTTAAAATAGGCGGGATTTTCTCGCCTGAGCGAGAATCCCTCGCTTAAGCGAGAACCCGACGCTGGTACATTAAATAGGGGACCCCAAACACATTTATTAGGGTTAACCTAAAGAGAAGTGAGAGGAGAGAGTATTTTCAGGAGCAAGGAGGCTTTTGAGTCATTAGAAGCTTGAGAAGAGGTAGATCTCTTGATTTTAACTCTCTTTTTCCCTTTGAAACTTGTTTTGAGGTATGTTGGATCTCTTCTCAACATGAGAGAAACCATGGAAACTCACCCTTTTGAGTTATGGTTCGTGTTAGATGATTTTATCTTGTAAACTCTTGATATAGAGTTAGTATTCCAAGGAAGGAGAGGGTTTGTGGGTTCATACATGAAAACCCCAAAACCCTAGAAATAAAAATGGGTAAAATGCTAGAGGTAGAAGATGAGTTTACTTTCTTATGATGAAAGTAGTTTAGCAACATTGAAAATATGAGGAATATTTTGTATGGTTAAATAATGCAATCTAAGTTGTTTATGAAATATTTGGGATAAATGACTAACATTGTGTTGTATGGTGGGAATGAGGAAAGATCCTAGAGTTGGCGGCGATGTCGGTGGAACTAGTGCAGTTACCAAAAACTCAACCCAACACTCACCAAGGTAAGGAGAAGTTATTAATGGTATATGATAATAGAAAATGTGTGAATCTTCTGATTATGTATACGATCGGTGTATGACTTGCCCTATGTGGTATTGTGTATGACTTGCCCTATGTGGTATTGTGTATGACTTGCCCTATGTGGTATTGTGTATGACTTGCCCTATGTGGTATTGTGTATGACTTGCCCTATGTGGTATTGTGTAAGACTTGCCCTATGTGGTATTGTATATGACCTGACCCAAGTGGTGATGAAAAGGTAAACGTGCAATTGGAAAATAATGATTTAAAATGGTATTGATGAAGGAGGTGATAAGGTATGGCAGAGATGAATGAGTGAATTCAAAAGGGTGGATGTAATAACTGGAGAGGGATAAACAGGAGATGTAGATTTTATCAGTTTATGACTTCTTGTATTATAAAACTTAAAATGTGGATTATCGTTTACTGATATTTATTGAATTGATAACTTACTCCTTTGTTGTTGTTGTTGTGTATATCTTTTATGATAATCCCACTGCAGGTAAACAAGGAAATTGAGGATACCCGGTTCGAGGCATGAGGAGCTTAGAACTCGAAGTCTTATTCTTTTTTGTTTAATTGATGTAAACTGTTAATTGGATAATTGTAAATCCTAACTGGATTTGTACTACATTTTTGTAAATCTGGATATTAATAGCTATGGGTATTTTGGAATCCCATAGCTAGTCATATGCGGTATTTACCAAGAAGGGAATATATAAATTATGTTTTTTCTGCTCCATGGGAAGAAGGGTTCTAGTTTATTGTGATAACTGACTTTAGAGTATTGAATGTTGTTTAATTGAAGAGAAATAGAGACGATAGGAAATATCTATATTAAAATGAGAAGAGTTTTAAAGGGTAGAATTTTGGTCCTTACACGGTACACTTGCCGTACGAAATTATCTAACAAGTTTTTGGCACCGCTGCCGGGGAGCAATAGGCGATTTATTTTGAATTTCTGAAAATATTTTATTGAGTATTGTAAATAATTTTTTATTTAATTTTTAGTTTGTATTAATTTCTGTGCTAACCCTTGCTGTAGTCTTCTCATTTATGCTTTTGAGAGGAAAAGCTAATGAAGATCAATTGCAGTTTAATCCTGAGATTGAAAAGTCAGCAAAGAGTAACAAGAAGAAAGCAAAAGCTAAGAAGAAGCAGGGTGCACAATCTAGTTCTCAACAGACACCAATTTTAGACACTCCATCCATCAAGATGGATGATAACAGCACCAATACAAATAATGAGCGGACTAATCCTCCAAGAAGGACGATGGGTGATTATGCTATGTATCAAGGTCCGCGACATTATTCCAACATTGTCATTCCACACACTACAAGGGCAGTGGAAATTAAGCCCGCTTTTCTGAACTTGATCAGTGCACATCAATTCTCGGGGAAGGACTATGAAGATCCTTATGCTCATCTGGATAACTTCTATGAATTGGTAGCAACCATGGAGTACACTGATAATGAAAGAGAAGCTGCATACATGATGATGTTCCCGTTCTCTCTAGTTGGTGAAGCTAGGGAATGGTTAACATCTCATCCAACCCAAAGCTTAACCAATTGGAATGACCTGGAATCAAAGTTCCTCACATGATTCTTTCCACAAGCTCGGTATGTGCATGCAAAGTTTGAGATCTCAACATTCCGACAAGGTGCGGATGAAGCCTTTTATGAAGCATGGGAGCGTTTCCAGGTGCTATTGAGAAAGTGTCCGAATCATGGTTTCGAGGATGTAGATCAACTCAACATATTCTGCAATGGGCTGAAACCTGAAACCAAAATGATCTTAAATGCAGCAGCAGGTGGAACAATGATGGCTGTAGATGCTGAACATGCTACAAGGGTAATAACTACCTTATCGTCAATTGATAAGCAAGCACAACATAATCGTCGGTCAGTACAAAAAAGAGGAATGCTGGATATGAATACTTCTGATGCAATTCTAGCACAAAACATGATTCTGACACAACAAATTGAGGCACTGACAAAACTAATGTCAAAGTTACCTTAACAATTGAATGTTGTGCAATCTGCTACGGGATAACAACAGGTGTTGAGATGTGAGTTTTGCGGGGGTGAGCATGCAACTGGTCACTGTGCAATTCAGAGTAACACTCAAGAAGAAGAAGTGCAGTATATCAACAATCCACCTCGACAAGGCAATTTTCCCAACAACCCTTCATACAATGGTCAATTTTCACAAGGTTGGAGGGGTAATCAGAATCAAAATTAAGGTTGGAGGCCAGAATCAGGATCATCAAACAGGCAACCACCTTATCAGCAACCATTCCAACAAAGTCAACATTCACCAATTCATGAAAGGCAAACTAAACTGGAGGATAGATACATTAGAGAAGTTCATGCAAGCTTCAATGACTAACCAGAAAAATATTGAAGCATCTATCAGGAATCTGGAAACTCAGGTGGGTCAGTTGGCAAAACAAATGGAAGAGCAACATTCCGATAGCCGACAGTTCTCGGCCAACACTCAAACCAATCCTAAGGAGCATTGCAAAGCTATCACTACTTGGAGTGGAAAGGTGATTAGTCCAGATTTTGGTAAAAATTTGGTAGTGGAAGAAGAGGTGCTGAATGATAAGAAGAGTGAGGAAGATAAAGTTGTTTCTGGAGAGAACAAGGATGAAGGGTTTGTGAATAGTGAGCAGAAGATTGATCTGTCACAACTGAAGAGTCTTCCATATCCGAAAAACATTTCAAATAAGGATAAGGAGATACAATATATAAGGTTCATGGACATATTCAAGAGCCTTCAGATCAACATACCTTTCATGGAAGCTATGGAATAGATGCCTACTTATGCTAAGTTCATGAAGGATTTGTTGACAAAAAAGAGAAAGTTTTATGAGGAAACGGTGACGCTGGAAGCTGGGTGTAGTGCCATTATTCAGAAGTCTTTGCCGGAAAAATATAAGGATCCGGGAAGTTTCACAATACCAGTCACCATTGGAGAATTATCTGTGGGAAAAGCACTGCTTGATTTGGGTGCTAGCATCAATTTAATGCCTCTATCCATGTTACGAAGAATTAGAGACTTGGAGGTAAAACCTACAAGGATGACTCTGCAGTTGGCAGATAGATCTATGAAATATCCTTATCGAGTTGCGGAGGATGTCTTAGTCAAGGTGGATAAGTTGGTATTTCCAGTTGACTTTGTGATTATGAATATAGAGGAGGATACTGAAGTTCCATTGATTTTGGGGAGGCCTTTCATGAAAATTGCCAGGGTAATTATTGATGTTGATGAAGGCAAGTTAAAAGTTAGAGTGCAAGATGATATTGTTAACTTCAATGTTTTTGTGGCAATGCATTATCCGAAAGATAAGCAGCAATGTTTCACAGTGGATGTCATGGATGAGATATATATGGAGATGGATCTGTATGCTAACAGAAGCAGTCCCTTAGAAAAAGTTTTGCATGGTGAGCTAGAAGGTCGAGATGCCGAAGAGAATTTGTGCATTGAAAAGTGTATAGCGGAGTTGGATGTACTCCGAGAGAAAGGAAACTGCTTGATGTGTTGAAAGCAAACAAGGGGGCTATAGGTTGGACACTATCAGATCTCAAGGGTATTAGTCCTTCGTACTGTATGCATAAGATTCACATGGAGCATGATTTCAAACCAGTCGCACAACCTCAAAGGCGTCTGAATCGTACAATGAAAGAGGTAGTAAAAAAGGAGGTCATGAAACTTTTGGATGCAAGGATGATTTATCCCATATCTGATAGTGCATGGGTGAGTCCGGTTCAAGTAGTGCCGAAGAAATGGGGTATGACTGTGGTGAAAAATGATAAATATGAGTTAATCCCTACCAGAACGGTCATAGGCTGGAGAATGTGTATAGACTATCGGAAATTGAACCAAGCAACCAGGAAGGATCATTTTCCTCTGCCATTCATGGACCAGATGCTCGAGAGACTGGTTGGCCAAGCATTCTATTGCTTTCTAGATGGCTATTTCAGATATAATCAGATCACCGTCGACTCAAATGATCAGGAAAAGACTGCTTTCACCTGTCCATTTGGTGTCTTCGTGTATAGGAAAATGTCATTCAGATTATGTAATGCGCCAACAACTTTTCGAAGGTGCATGTTTGCCATCTTCTCAGATTTGGTGGAACATTGTATTGAAGTGCTCTTAGATGACTTCTCCCTCTTTGGGTCATCATATCAGGGTTGTCTAGCAAATCTGGACATAGTGCTGAAGAAATGTATAGAAACCAACTTGGTGCTGAATTGGGAGAAATGTCACTTCATGGTGACTGAAGGAGTGGCCCTGGGGCATAAAGTCTCTGCTCGTAGTATTGAAGTGGATCAGGCAAAAATTGAAGTCATCAAGGAGTTGCCACCACCAACTAATGTCAAGGGAATCAAAAGTTTCCTTGGACATGTAGGTTTTTATCGATGTTTCATTAAATATTTTTCTAAAATTTCAAAACCACTCAGTAATCTACTTAACAAAGATATTGTTTTTCACTTTGATGTTGAGTGTGTAAATGCTTTTGAAATGTTGAAACAAAATCTTGTCTCTGCTCCTGTCATAGTAGCTCCTGACTGACATTTAAATTTTGAACTTATGTTTGATGCTAATGATTATGCAGTTGGAGCTGTACTAGGGCAGCAAAAATCTAAATTTTTTCATGCTATACACTATGCTAGCAAAGTTTTAAACGAGACACAAATTAACTATGCTACCACATAAAAAGAATTGCTAGCAATTGTGTATGCATTGGAAAAATTTAGATCATATTTGATAGGGTCTAAAGTTATAATATTTTCTGATCATGCTGCTATCAAATATTTGCTAACCAAATCGGATTCCAAACCGAGATTGCTTCGATGGGTGTTGCTATTGCAGGAATTTGATCTTGTCATTAAGGACTAAAAAGGAAGTGAAAACTGTGTAGTAGACCATCTGTCAAGGTTGGTGAATCAGGAAGTAACTAATAGAGAACTCGAGGTGGTGGAAGACTTCCCCGATGAAAAGCTACTGGTATTACAAGAGAGGCCATGGTTTGCTGATATGGCCAACTTCAAAGCTACAGGGGTGCTCACTACTGATTTCACATGGCACTAGAAGAAAAAGTTCCTAATAAATGTATGTCAGTACATTTGGGATGACCCTCATCTTTTCAAGATTGAGTCTGATGGATTATTGAGGCGGTAAGTCTCTTCGTTAGAAGCTACAAGCATTCTTTGGCATTGTCACAGTTCACCGTATGGGGGACACTTTATTGGAGAATTGACAACTGCTAAGGTCCTTCAGTCAGGCTTCTATTGGCCCTCCTTGTTCAAGGATGCTCATCAATTTGCCCAGCAGTGTGATAAATGTCAACAGACGGGTGAAATCTCCAAAAGGAATGAAATGCCGCTGTCTAATATTAAAGAGATTGAAGTCTTTGATTGTTGGGGGATCGACTTCATGGGACCATTTCCACCATCGCATTCTCACTTATACATACTTGTAGCGGTGGACTATGTGTCCTAGTGGATGGAAGCCATAGCTGCATCCAAGGATGATGGCAACACCGTGGTAAATTTTTTGAAGAGAAACATATTCAGCAGATTTTGCACACCACGGGTTCTCATTAGTGATGGAGGATCACACTTCTGCAATGCACAACTTCAGAAAGCCTTCAACACTATGGAGTCCGATAGAAAGTCGCATCTCCTTATCATCCTCAAACAAATGGTCAAGCAGAAATGTCCAATAGAGATATCAAAAGAATTCTGGAGAAGACAGTCTCCACATCAAGAAAAGATTGGTCTCTCAAGCTTGATGATGCACTTTGGGCATATAGAACAGCATACAAAGCTCCCACAGGCTTATCTCCTTATCAGCTGGTCTACGGAAAGGCATGTCATCTTCCAGTGGAGCTGGAGCACAAAGCATTATGGGCTCTGAAATATTTCAATATGGACCCAAAATCTGCTGGTGCAAAAAGACACTTACAAATTCACGAAGTGGAAGAAATGAGGCTTAATGCTTATGAATCCTCAAAGTTGTACAAGGAGAAATTTAAGCTCTATCATGATAAGAAGATCTGACGGAAAGACTTTCAACTGGGTCAATCTGTGTTACTATTCAACTCTCGGATGAAGCAATTTCCGGGCAAACTAAGATCATATTGGTCGGGACCATTCTTAGTAAAACAAGTGAAGTCACATGGAGCAATTGAGTTAGAGGATCCCGCCTCACAAAGGAGTTGGACAGTAAATGGTCAAAGACTAAAGGCTTATCTGGGTGGTGAAGTCGAAAGACTTACCACAAGCATCCATCTAGCAGATCCTCAAACAACATGAAAATCAGGTGTCGAGCTAATGACGTTAAACAAGCGCTAACTAGAAAGCAATCCAACTTTTACTGTTTTTGTAACTTTTTATTTTTTATTTTTGTTTTGTGTGTCTAGTACTAAAAAAAAATATCCCAATCCTCGCCCAGGCGAGGCTATGCTTTACTGAAGGCCAACACACTGGCTGATTCTCGCCCAGGCGAGACATGCCTGAGCACACTAGTAGATTCTCGATCAGGCGAGAAATTCTCGCTCAAGCGAGAAGGAACAAAATCTGTTTTAAAAGAGGGGAGTCAGGGTGAAACCTTTCATTCCCCATTGCAAACAAAAAACCCCAAAATCTAAGAAAACCGATTTTCCCTCATTTCTTCAAGCTCTTCAAGGTTTTTGCACTCAATCATCCTCACACACACTCAC